GGGAGTACAAACAGGGCTTGAGAGGTCGAAGTCTACGGAAGCCAAGCAATCTCCAAGGAGAGAGCAGGCCCCACTACAACTAGTAGAGCCTGTGGTACACACAAGTAGTTGTACTGGGCAATGGGCTTCACTGCTTGTTCTCGTGTGGGCGTAGCGAGAGTCGAGGTAGACTATCGGGTAGAGTGGGACACGTCGCCGAGGCGGAATTCCCCCCTAGAGCCCGAAATCGAAGTGACACCGGACACTCCCGTGCGTCGCCGAGGCGGAAACGGGGTAACCATGTGAGACCGGTCGGCTTCGTGAGCATCTAGTTGAAAGATCGAGAGCCTTCTCGAAATCGTAGGATGAAGGCTGGTGGCTCTGCGGCGATGATGGGTCGCATTCTCTCGTGTTGGGCGAAAGCACTCCGCATCGCCGGAGCTAGCATGTTCGAAGTACACGAGATGATCGCAGATGCTTGTTCGCGAAAGAAGGTCGTCATCGGCTCGAAGTTCGGCATCTGTGTCGCAAACAGGTTGAGGTTGTGGGCTGCGTGGCACCACATTCGAAGTCGGTGCATGCGGTACTCCACCGATGTATGACTCAAGTCGGAGAGGGACGCCGTCATGCTATGCCAGACCATCGAGTAGATCAGTGTAGTCCGGGGGTCGACGAAGTTGTTCGGGACACCCAAGAACAAGACCCTCTCCTGGAGAGTGTCGTCCTGTGGGGTATGAATCGGGAGGTCGATGTACAGCCCGAACTGTGTCAGATAGCTCCCGAAGGTCGGGCATCGGAGAACCTGTTCGAGGTAAATGACGCCGTCATATGTGATTTCCCATGGGGAATCGAAGGCAAAGGACGAGTATGGGTGGTTGCCTGGAGGAAGCATCGCGACATTGTGTCCGCCCACCGGTGTCATCGCCTGTAAGTTCGGGGACATCATCGGGAAGTTGTCGAAGTGTCTCAAAGTCTGGAATCCGAACACAGGTTCGTGTGATGTCGATGGATTGGATCGGACATCGTCGATCGACGTCCTGCCCTTGTCAACCACCTGTGTGTCGAGCCACTGTACTCGGAATCTCTCGAGGCAGGACTGTCGAGGTGGCTGTGGCTGAATCGCGGTCGGTACACCCGTGTATGGACTCTGCATTGATGTCGCGACCGTCGAGGAGGATGCAGCTCCAGCCTGGGTCGTGTTCGGTGTCAGGACCTGTCTAGGGTCTGGTCGTGACAGGTCCACAGCTGGGTGGACCGTAAACCTCGGAGGAGCCACTTTGGGCATAGCCTTCGTCTGTGCCCCCACAATGGTCGTGGTAGTCGGTGTGCCGAAGGCTGGGTTGATCCACTCGGAGTCACTCGGGTTGTTGGTCGTAGTAGTTGTGGCTGGGTTCTTCGGCTGTGTTACCTGGGTACTCATCGGAGTCGTGGTCGGAGGTGTAGCCGGAGCTGCCATCTGGGGAGTCGGTGGTTCCGTGGTATCGTCGTCCGGATGCCAAGGAAGGGGACACCGGTCGAGTCTGTTGTGTGGTAGTATTAGGTGTTGCTGTCGGAGTCGGAGCCGGGGTGGAGGCTGTGATCTCATCCGGGACCTCGACGATTACCGGCGTGTTGTCGAGCCATCGTTTAGCCGGTGATTGCGATCGTCGAGGGAATCTCGCCGGTGACAATGGTCGATTTGAACCGCGAGCTCGGGTAGATCGACCGAAGCTAGGGGCATCGGAGTCTGTGTCCGTGCCCAGCTGGAAGAATGGTCGCCTCGGCGTAGTGCTCGGAGGTGCTGTCGAAGGTGCCGCCGATTGTGTTGGGTTCGTAGGAGCAGTCGACGGTGTAGCTGCCGGAGGGAATCGCGATCCCGAGGAGGGAAAAATATTCCCTCGTGGTGTGATCGGAGGCTGTCCCCATGTCGCTGGGGGTCGAGAGTCATCGCGTGCTCGCCGGGGAGATCGTCCTCGATGATTGCCCTCTGCCATATCTTGTCGGAGTCTGGCCGCAGCGTCGGATTTGTCCCATGCTTCGAAGTCGTAGTACTTGGAGAAGTTGGTGCCGAAGTTGAATTTGCGCATCTCGGTGTGGCGAAAGGTAGCCATCGTGTCCATGATCCACTCCTTTGCCTGTTCTCGAGTCACTTGCTCGAGGAAGGCGCCTCGTGATGAGTAGTGGTACGGAGGCTCACCGCGTCGGAGTTGTCGTTGTAGGACAACAGCTCGTCGCATGGCATCATCGAAAGTAAGTCCGTGTTGGTTCCAACATGTGTTGTGATACTCGCAGCATCCCTGGAACCATTTATGGCAGATTAGATTCGGCACCACCCATTTCTTGTTCAGGAAGTCGGGGTGTAGGTGCACACAGTTCTGCATGTTGCAGTTCTTGTTATCGAGGATTCGGGGGCAAATCTGTCGTTTGATCGAGGACAGAGGTACTCGGGCTTCGTCGTGGACTCTTTCGGGGAACTCAGTGAGCATAGAACTCGGCACAGGTGCAGTGAACTTCTGCGTCGAGCCCTCGCAAAGAAAATCGAACCAAGAGTCAGATCGAGGGACTGCCATGGCTTCGAAGTAACTAATCCAAATCGATGGATGTCGTGTTAGAGGGCTTGAGGCGCCCTTCGAAGTTTCTCTTTCGAGCTGTAGAGGCAGCGGGTTCGGGATTATGAAGTTCGATGCCAAAATCATCACGAAAAATGTCTGCCAAATGCTGATTATGCAACTCTGTCTCGTGTGCAAGGAGAGCAGCATCAGTCTCCGCTGGAAGGGGTGCATGATCGGAGTCAGGGTGTAGGGAAGCCTCGACGATCTCGAAGGGCACCGTCAGCGGCTCCGCGGACTCGTCGCGGTTGGTAATGTGCAGGTACAGGAAGGCCTCGAGATTGGGCGGCTTCAACAAAGTCGCCGCCAAATTGACAATGTCGTTCGCCGTCTGACAATAGGCGATCTGGTCGATGGCCTTCCGTATTTGTCGGGATTGTCGTTTGTTCCAAGCTCCCCACGTCACATCCTCGGGTTTCTCGATTTGAAAATCTTCGAGAACTTGCTCGCGGCTGAATTCCTCGAGCGATTCCTTCAAACTGTCAACAACTGACAGAGAAACCGTAGTGCTCGAAGTACTGGCCGCCAGCAGCGGTCGTAGTAGAACTCGGGGTACTGGCCGCCCGGAGCGGCTATGACCGAGGAGTGATCCGAGGGGACTGAAACAAAATTTCTCAAGCTGGAACAGCTTTTCGCCAAAATGGCCACGGAGTGTACAATCATTCGAATTGAATCGGTGAGTCTATCCCCTGACCGATTCGGTGATCAAGTGAGATAATATGTTGTCACTTCGCACAAACAAGTGTGTGCTACACTACATCACATTGCATTACATTACACTACATTGCATTGCATTATGCCACACCACCTTACCGTACCTTATACAAGTACATTACATAGTTGCGTGCCTACAAGCACAACGCATGCATCGTGCATGCATACGCGCGCACATACAGATACACATACATACACACACACACACACACACACACACACGCCCCTTACACACATGTTTCCTCCCCCTCCCCCCCTCCTTTTTCGGCAGCACAATAGACCTTCGGTTGGATCATCCGGACGTGGTATGGTCCACCGAGTGGTGGCGCCAGCCCCTGTAGTTAGCCAATCGAAAAGGACCCTGGGGTCCAGGAACTGCGATGATGGACCGAGCTTGGCTATATGTCCCGAAAAAGGAGTGACTCATGCAGCTTCGATCCCGGGAACAAATCGCTGAAGGATTTGCCCTTCAGGGGCGAGACGTGACACACTGCGAGGTCCGGGACCAGGCCTGGCTACACCGCCTGCAGGAGACCGTAGGTCTTCCTCCACGTTGACTGTGTTCAGTACATGCAATGGCATGTTGTTGGGGATGGGGGTGACTCCGGCCGCAGAGAAACTGTCTGCATCTTGGATTGGGGGCAGCCGTGGTCAATGCCGAATGTGAGGATCTGTGGTCCGCCGCTTCATCCGAAGTTGGCCTCGAGGAGGAGCTTCCTTTTTCCTATTCCTGAAAGGGGAGGTAGAGCAAGTGCCGGCATTTTGAACCGAGTCGACAGCTTGGCACGCCTGCGAAGGAAGCTGCGCTGTCACTCTTGAGCATGAATACCCGACGAAGACAGATCACTGACGATCCGCAGTATACTTGGGATGTCCAGCACGCCCACGACGTTCCACGCTCAGAAATTCTTCTGCCTGGTCTCGCATAGCGCGTTTCAACTTGTTCAAGGCAATCCAAGGTCAAACTACCTTCACTGGTGCTCTGAAAGCTATCGAAGAGTCCTGCTCATAAAGAGCAATCCCAACACTTCCGCAGGCAAAACCTCTGCATCACGTCTTCTGACGATAGAAGCATCACTCTTCGGCACCAATGTCTCGACGACGACAGCCTGGCGGACCACTGTTGATCTGTAGCAGCTAACCGCAAAGCCCGTTTTTTCCAGCCCGTCAATAGAAACAAACCAGCAAAGGCTCCGTCCGACCCTAAAGGGTTTTCAGAAACACCTCCTCCAGCATCAGATGTCACAGATGCAAAAACTCTGCCACTCGGGAACAGCTCTACTGCATGGGCACCTGCTGTACAAACTTAGACATTGAAGCTGGTCCTTTCCAGGATTTCCTGTTGACCGAGACGAGACGCGATTTCAATTTGCTATGTCTGCTATGTTTCGAGACACAAACAGCTACCGCGCATGCAAGCCATGTTGCACACCAAAGTGCTGTGAACGCATCCGTGGCTCACAAGAGGACATTACGGGATTCCGCGGGAGGTAGCTTGAGAGTGTGTCTGTGAGTATGTATGTATATACACACTCATAGATGTGTATGCACATAATGTGTATGTGTCCATGCCTGTAGGCTCAACACAAACTATGTATGAATGCATGTATGTTTGTGTTTTTTGCTAAAAGGCATAAGCATTTACATGTTTGCGTGTTCGCAGCTCTCAGCCACGAACTGATCGGCGCCAGACCCCAGTCCTCGGAGCACAGCTTCGTGCTAGGGAAGTAGTTCGGGCTTGATTCGGGTTTCGGGGGCACATAGTCGGCGCATACAAATTGCACCACAGGGTTCTGCTGATTGGTCTGTAAGTTGCAGCTGAGCATCCAAGTGGACAACTGGAGCTGAATCTATCAAGGCACATGCCTGATTCTTCAACCTGCGAGCAATAGCTGTCTGGCTGTCTCTCACTTCTCCATGGGTTGGTAAGTCTAGTCCGGGCAGGCACATGTGTGCCGTGAATGTTTTAGATTCTGGACGTATGTACATACAGTTGATTGTCGAAGCTGCTCCACAGCGTCAACTTCGCGCTTGGGATCTGCCACTACAGCCAGGCATGATCTTATTGCCAAGGCTTTCCTTTGCAACCGGCCGCCTCTTGGATGCATATTTGCACCACCTGAGCGACTGAGGGAGTCTTCGAAAGGCAAAAGGCAGCTAACACAACAGGACGGAACTCCTCTCCAAGGGCTGGGGGCTGGGCATCATGTCCAATCCCCAGTCCGATTTGTCTTGGATGCATGAGCGGCAATCCCGAAGAACAAGCTGTAGCCTGGCGTGTTAAGGGGATACAAAGGCGCAAAGACTCAACAGTAGCCCCAGCCTTCCGAGAACACGAGACATTCAGTTCAAGGCAGCTGGATGCGGTGCAGCTTGGTCCCGGGCACTTCCGATTTGAGAAGCGGCGCAGTGAGCTCCACGAAGTCCGTGTGCCGGAAATCACATCCTGCGCATTTGACGAACGTTGTGAGCTTTCTGGCCTGCTCGATGGCAGCTATTCGCACTCTGCTGTAACAACCTGTAACATTTACTACATTACACGTGCTGTTCGTGCTCTTGCAAATAAGGGCAGATGTGTAAACAGACATGAGCACCGGGCCGCTAAGACATCCAGGCCCATGCGGCGTGGCATCACGTAAGCCGCGGATTGTGGGGGGGGGGCAACAAAGTGCGGCACAGTTAACTAGTAACTAGTGTGGAAAGCATCACGAAAACAACGCCACACCTCCAGCCAAACTAGGACCTGAGGCCGGCGACTGACCCCAAAGCACACTTTGTACAGATTGCTTGAAATTCTCCTAGATCAGGACTTTGGATGACATTCGGACCTTGGTGGAGGTTTGAGGCCAAGGGTCAACTCACGCCCAGCCTTTGCACTAAGCTGCAGGCCGCTGATCTGCTGGGCATGTCTGCGGCTGCCTCTTGAAGGAGCATGGCCTGCACGGAGCTTCATGCACTCCTCGTTTGGGCCGCGTCTGACGTCGGTCGCAACTGCTAGTAACGACATAGGCGCTGAAGCTGCGACCTTCCCGGCGGACCACAGCGCTGTGCTCCTGGAATAAGAAGTGTCGCATGAGTTGCAGTCTTTGCTAAACCGTGCCTGTGCACCCTCGGGAGCGGTTCCGGCCGTTCGAGCAAGTCTTTTGGGGTGCAAATGCCGCGGCATGCCATGCGCTGTGCCAGCCTGGAGCAGCAAAGGCACCAAAGGCTTACCGTCGGCTTGGACCTGAACTCCAGAGACTCAATTCAGTTACAAGAGACGGGTGGAATAGGGCTCCAACGATTAGAGGTATTGTCAGGATATTGTCAGCCGTTGAGGAGCCGGCGAATGTCGGGCCGACGATGGGAGAGCGGCTGAGCCGGGCCATCTCCAAGAAATGAGGGAGGTCTGCCTTCCGTGGTTAGGCCAAGCTTTTCAGAGCTACCAGTACGGCAACTGTCAAGCTCGGAAGTCATAACTGGTCGTGTGCCGGGAATGGGGAAATCCCTTTGTCGACATCGGTTACCGGCAAGTCAGTTCAGTAATTCAGGCTTCACCATCTGCATGCAAACCGCCCACTGCCCAATATACTCTCCAAGCCAGGGAAACTCAGCAGCCACATCTCCCAAACCACATCAAAGCAAGCGAACAACTGTGGGGCATTTTCCGGTGAATCATCCTACCAGTGAACTAGTGTGAAAGGCAACTATAAGTATGTCTGTCTAGGAACGATACCTCTCCAGAGCCATGTGTATGGGAGCCTCCAATTTGGTTCTGTTGTCGGCCAATTTTCCGCTGAAGCATGCTTATCATGCTGCTCGGTGATTATGTGAAACTCAAGTAACCCCCCCCCCCCCGCCCCTCCCCTCCTCTAGTGCAACGGCCCCGACTCAAAGTGCTTCCCCCGAGTACTGCCGGCCGTGGAAGCCTCAACAACTTCATTAGCTGCGAGAGTCTGGTGCATGTGCCGCCGGCTCAGACCTGTGCGGATGTGATGGCCTGTGGCCTGCACGAGCTCGTGTATGGTAGATGGCCGATCGCGATGCTAGCAATTCGGTAAATTCCTTCGCCCCCCCAAGTAATTACGGATGCATGCAAAAGGCTCCGGTCACGACTTTCACTTCTCACGGTACGATCTTACTGAAATTTGAGGCACGTTCTGTTTGATGTCTCGGCCAGCCTTTGACAGGTCAATATCACTGTCCAGGGCCCAAATGAACTCGTAGCGCTTCTCCCAAAGTCCGTCCTGGCCAAAAGCTCGCCAAGCCAGCAAACGGAAGCTCAAGCCCCTGAGGCGACTCTGACGCTGAAGAGTTTGCAGCGGCTTTGCAACTACTGGCCACATTGTGCCTCAGTTGAACTCACGCCCTAAGCCTGAGCCACCCCCAGCCCCAATGGAAATATGGGCATACAGTACGATGGCAAACGCTTTTCATGGGTTGAGTGCGAGTTGGGTTGGAACATGGTCCTTGTTATCTCAAGCGCCCTTTGCGGACACTTCTTTCGGGGGTGGGTTTCCTCAACAGGAGTTCAGGATCTGCTTCAGGTGCTCTAAGTACAGCCTCAGCTTCCGCCCCTCCCAAAGCCGCACGGCCTTGTAAGCCTTCCTTGGATGATGCAGCGCTGCAGTCAAAGTCAAGAGGCTCCGCTAGCGTCGGGACTTCAGGTAAGCATCTGCATGAGACGGAACTTGTAGCCTTTGTCAACCAGAGATTCCGAAACATGCTCCTGGTACCTAGCAGAGGGTGTGTGTTTTGCCGGAGGAACTGCTGAAGTCTGGAGGGCGCACCAGGTGTGATCCCAGTCGTTCTGAGAACCACGGTAGTGTGCCAGGATGACCTGGACAGGAATTGGGTTTGAAGATTCTTTTCAATCTAGCCAACAAGATACGATTGTCCACATACCCAAGAACCTGCCCCTGTCTGGCTTCGATTCGAGCTCAACAACAACCGGTCCACACAATCCTTCGCATTTCGCCACGGTAGTTCGTGAGGTCAGCGCGTCGTGTGGAATTCCAGCATCTTCTACCTCGGCGCAGAATGTTTGCCGAGGTTTAAGTTTAAACTGAGCATTCATGGTAAGAGTCCTACTATAGGTCTTTTGCCGACCGAACTCAGCATGAATTAGTGCTGGTCGAGTTGCGTGGCGGACATTTTGCTTCACCATGTCCTACAACCAAGGCAAGAAAGCAGCACTGCATTTCTAGTCAAAGCTAACACAGCCAACAGCTCTCCTGCGTCCTCTTGCTGCTATCTACAGCCCAGAACAGGAGTAGTCTTGCGTGAGAAAGTCGGAGACCTCGTGGAGTCAGTACCGAAGTTCATAAAGCAAGGCCGTCGCCGCACTGTCGGTAAGCTGAATCCCACACATACGGCGAAGACCAGGATGCGAAATATACCTTTTCGCATAGCATGGTAGGCATGGATGGCATGCCATGGTATGGCATGGGTCCTGCTGCTGTTGGTCTCTGCCTTTTCTGAAATGCATGCACCGCAAGCGACCGGTGCAGTATCTACAGTACATGATTTTGATGAGCTGTGTTGAAGCCCACCTCCGCGGGCCACAGATAGCTACTTGAGCTTAAGTCATCATGTATACGTGCTACAAGTATGAGAACTTTGCCGCGGCAAGTCGTGGATTGTGAACCGAACCCTGCCGCACCAGGCTGGGGGGCGATGGGAGCCGGGGCTGGGCCTTCGGGGCTGGCCAGTGGCTCCTTTGAGGGCCCCAGTGTCTTGGTTTGAATTGCAGATTCGTGCTCTTTTTCAATGCTGGACGCTTTTCGAAGCTGTGGCTTAGGCCTCAAGCAAAGATGGACTTCCTCCCTCAGCTGAGCTTCAAGGGCAAGCACGTAGTAGTCGTAGTACAGTAGTGGTACTGACGATAGTGAGAGAGCAACAGTAACAAGGATTCCATCAAACCGAGCGGTGGATCATAAACTCATCTCGTGGGTGTCGATTAGGGCATCGGTGTCGATTGGGTACCGAGCGGGGCATCGATTGCCTAGCCACACATCACACGGAAAATTTGGGCACCCATGGCGGCGGCAGCAATGAATGCCACAACACATGATCTTCGTTGATCGTATCGCTTTTGGGACTGTCCTGTCGCTTTTTGAGAGTTTTGGCCAAATCCGCCATTCCAGCCATTCCAAGATCACCCTACCCTTAACATAGTTATACTCGTTCAACAGAGCAACGGGAATAGCGCTACAACTCAGCATGACTGATGTTGATTGCAAAAAGCACAAGAAGAACAGAGGTGTCGATCCGCGGGCCGAGATGCTTTCGCTGGCCATGATACGAAACTCGGACGAATCCGAGGAAGGCACGGACTTAGCACCTCAGCGATTTGAGATACACAGGCCAGCACGCAGCTCCAAGATCCGTTCAGGCGACCTATTCCCGTGTATGGAAGCGTTGCAAGTCCAAGTCGTAAGCCTCTTGCCGCACAAAGCTGCCCCTTGAGTGCGCCCCTTCTCTGGCGCAGCTTGAGGTATCACAGCAGCGGTCCAAAATCGAATTAATTGCAAACACAGAGATTGCCCAGCCCTGGCCTATAACGAATGTGATTTAACATGGGTCAGCGGTTTGGCCTTCGATGAGCACTCTATTTCGGTGTCCTCCAAAGACTTCTACGACCTTCAATAGCTCCGTTTCGGTTGCGAGGATAACGGCCCTCTACTTTACCTTGCCTCAACATCCAGTGCCGACAAGAAGTCCGCTGCAACTTGCGCACCTTTTGTCCAACATTTCTCTGCACCTGTCCCTCAGCTTCTGCACATGCAGCAGTGCTTTCCTTTGAATTGAGCCTGACATCGCACTTGCGGTACTTATCCATGCTGAATGTGCTTCAGCTGACGGGCATCCACTAGGCAACCTGACATACGAGCGGCCTGTGAAACAGCAGGCCATGCATCCAGCATGGCCTCCTCCACCTCACAACGCGAAAAACGCAGCTGCCATCCTCTCACATGAGGGTCTTCACCTCGTCCTCAAGCTTGTAAGGCCATGAAGGGGCGGCGCACATGTTCGAATCCCGACTGGCTCGGTGAGTGTTGGAGTGCAAGCGGTCCGTCCTCATTCCCATCCTCCGGCTTGTCTGGGACCTCGGGTGGTGGGGATGGCGGAGCCGCAGATTCCTGGCACCAGGACTGTTGAGTCCTTACACATCTGAGCCCTCAGAGTCAGAGCACTCCTTCGGAGCTTCACCGGCTTCGGAGACTTTCTCCGCTACGGCCTTTCTCAAAAACACTCTGACTCTCGAGCCTATCATGCTACCTGCAGTGCGTCAGCGATTCTGTGCAGACCTTCAGGTCGGAGGCATCCGAAAGCTGGATCACCTCAGCCACCAGAACGTCTGTCTTGGAAAGGCATGCCTGCAACGACTTGCTGCCTGATCAATGAGGCCGTAGTCTTTTGCCTTTCGATGCTTGTTGCCACATGCTGAAGAAGCATACCATGCACAACCATCGAAGCCCAGCGAGGTCAATCGCCGGACCTGCTCTGCCGACATGAAATTGTCCCGCATGAGGTCTGCTCTGATTGTGTCCTGGTCTTTGCCTGTCCTTGGTGTCTCAATGGCTGCCCGGGCTCGCAACAGACAGGTACGGAGTCTCTGTCTCTCCCCAAGCACTTGCAGCAATGTTGAATCTAGGACCCGGGCACCCGGGAATACATCCTGAGAGGCACACCGAGACACTACTTGCACACAAAGCCGGAGACGGAAAGCGAGAGACCGATAGATACGCAAATAGTTGGAGGAGCAGAGAATGTTTGTCTGAGAGCATCCACATGACACACTTCACTGAGACCTCTCCTCACGATGTTCTCGTGAATTTGCAGAATCTGCTGTGCTTCGACCTGCAGCCACGCCGCAAAAACAACCCGAAACATGGAGGTCCTACTCGAGCTTCTGCCAACAGTAAACGCCTTTCATGGTTCGATGAGACCCGGGAAAAAGCTTAGTGGCCAGGGCATGCAGCAATCAGCCCGCAGGGCACAGCTCCGTTGACTCCTATACAATCGAGGTGTGCATGTGCGCCTTGATGTCCTCTGCTTGGCCTTGCGCTCCACCCATCGCTTGGTGGATCATGATCTCGGCGACCAGTTCGACAAATGGACAACTGCTGTTGTCACTCGGATGCAGCTGCTGGGTGCTTGCTGTAAAGCTATGTACTACATACAAGGGCTGGTACTGGTGCTGTTGTGTTGGTAGCACTACGAAGTCCCACTGCCAATATGACGACATCGACGACTACTGAAACTGCTAATTACTGCTACTATAGTTTACTACTGCTGCTGCTGCTGCTGCTGCTTGCACTATCATTGCTAAAGCTCTCGGAGAGGAAGAACGATCAAGCTCCCCGCCCGACTGTGAGGCAGCGCAATGCCTTGGACGGTCTTGGAACTTATTCCTCGTTCTTCTCTCTTCCGTGCCAGCTCTGTCAATGGAGAAGGTTGAAAAGCCCGGCGCACGCTCTTGCAGAAGCTGCAGCTTTCCTACCGCTGTTTCTGGTCGAAATTTAACTAGGTCACGTTTGCCCTTCTCGCCCGCGGCGAGCAGGAAAGAGGCCATGGATGCTGCAAGGCCTGGGACGGTTCGGTTGAAAGAAGCAGCCTGGCGAGCAGGGAACTTCAACTGAGGATGCTTTCCATGGCACTGTGCGTGTATCTGCATGTGAAAACTTGGGCTCGCACCAACGTTGATTGTGATCACAGGGGACTTGATATGCCTGTTTCAATCGAGACTGCGCAACACAAAGGGTCTCTGCAAGGGTCCTGAGATCTCTGACAAGCAGAACAGCACCTCTAGGATGGCTGAGTTCTGCACTGCATAGTGTCGTAGATGGACAGGCCAGCAATCACAGATCCGCCCGCGCTGTTGATGTACAAGTATATGGGCTTGTTGTTGTCCTGTACCACAGCAAGCGTATTTGCTTGTACTAGCATCATCGCGTGCTGCAGTGTCTCTAAACCGTCGCTCAAACCGTTCGAGAGATTCTGCAGCCTCGGAATCCAAATACAGCCTGAGATGACAGGGGTGCCATCACACACTCGCGGGAACATCGCAAGCAAGAGCTGATGTGCGGCTCGAGGCACAAAACTCCGATGACCTCGTTTGCCAACTTGTCATCGATTTCCTTGCCAATGAAAATAATTCCTGGCAGGGAAAGGGAAGAGAGGCAATAGTGCACACTGGCCAAGGGCATACGTGACTCAAGGCGTTGACGGAATTGGATGCAAGATGCCGGGAAGGCTTTCTCGATACAGCCGGTTGTAGATGTCAACCTGAGACCGCTCACGATCCCCCCAAGGCAGACTTCGGACCGCCGACGATGGCCGACCGCTGCGGTTCCGAAGCTCTTGGAGCAGGACCCATTCCGCATTCGGTGCTCCCGGGACCCGGTAGGCCACCTCCAAACGCACAGCACGTGCACCGAGGATAAGACTGGCCGGAGACCGAGAGAAATACCGCAAATGCAGGTCTCGTCATTTCTCCGCCGGCGCACTGCACAAACGAACATTCTCAGCCGAGGTACCTGATCAGAAACCACTGGGAATTGTCTGGAAAAAGCAATGAACGACTTGCGACGGGAACGGGATTCCAAGATCTTTGGCTGCACTTTGCAGTTGGGCTACCACCAGAACGTCCAGTCCATTCCGAGAAACACCCGTTGTCCGTCCCGTCGGTGTTCATGCACGGCACGAACCACTCCTGCGAGCAAGCTCAGGATCTGTGTTCTCCTCGGGCCCTTCTGCACGCAGCATACCTGAATGCAAGCTGCACACATCGTCCTGGCCACTGCGGTGAAAAGTCATGTCCAGCAACGAGTGCTCCTGAAAAACAACCGCTTGACGTCAGCGATTCAATTGCGCAGTGCACCGGCTGCAGAATCTGTGAACCTGCACCAGATAGCTTTGGTAGCCAGATCTGCAGGTCCGAGTCAACGCACTCGTAGAGGTGGCAGCCGTCCACAAAAATAGCCTAACAGAGACGCATATAGGGGCTTACACAACTCTCACAGCGCCCGACAGCTGGGGCGGCAGCATCTATGCTGCCGTCAGGAATGCTCCTGCGCAGGGCTCGTCTTCCAGCAAATTATCTTGCACCGCTGCAGATCACGCACGTCGGCATTTTGAATGGATGGCACGACATGGCACGACCATCGTGGCAGGCTGAAGGCACGCCCTCTCCTGGCTGCTACATCGGATGTGACCGGCAGAAGTTGGGCTCGATCTTTGTAGTTCTCGTAAATGGAAGCGGCCTAGCAGCCAGCATGTGATTTCAATCGACAGAAGGTCTCTCCAGACAAGCTCGCAGGATTGGTCATGACAGTGCCCAACCCGCTGGAGCCTGTGAGAGAGCAAAGTCTGGATCCATCGTCTCTGAGAAGTCCCCAGGAAACGTTCCATCTGTCCCAATGTATGGGTCAATGCCTGCACGGCAGCATCAGAAAGCAAAGTGTTGCAAAGACTCGGAGTCATTGCGGTGCAAGTTGCCCAGCAGAGTCACGAAAGGAAGCTTCTCCAGCAGGAACTTGGACCTAGGAACATGACAGCGCCAGCCAGTAGTCTCGGAATGAACAGGGGTTGCCTCAGTTGTTCACCGATTCGCGATGCATAATGACATCATGCTTGGCCCTCGGCAAACTTCCTTTGAAGACACCGATCTCCACAACACGGATCTGCTCACCTCCACGGCTTTGGTGAAGTTTTTTCCTTGCAGTCGCAATAAAATTCCCTGTATAAGCAAGCGATCGCTTCTGCTGGCCGCCGGCCCATCCAGCAAGCTTATGCATCCTCTGTTCTCAAGCTGGCCGGGGCTCAGCAGATTCTGCAGGATGTCCTTCAAGAGCGAGCCACTTTGGACTTTGCAAACACGCTTCTGTCGGTGGGAGGTGTGCAGGAGCACCAAACAGGCCACCTGACGCTGGCTGCCCTCGTTCACGAGTCCATACGCTGGCGCCCTGAGGCTCGGCGAGCAATCGCCTGATTACCTACAGACCGGCTGTGCTTGATGGCCCTTGCCTTGACATACCTCCAACGAGGGAGTGCGCAGCATGGGCGTCGTTGGCACCCAGTTCCTCCCACCGTTCAGACGGTCCCCAGGCGGTGTGGACCACGCGTCCCTGGCAAACCCATAACCGCATGTCGACTCGCAAAAAACATCCGTCAAGAGCAACGCTGTTGCAAAGCAGGCCTCGCGAAGAGAGTCTTGAAGCCAGAGGAAGTGGGTGTCTCGCCAGACCTTGCACTGCCAAAAGAGCAATACTTCAGCAACCCTTGCCGAACGCCTGGCCTGGCAGTATGTCAGTGTAAATGTGTAAATCAGGTACATGCGAGAACCTCTGCCTCACGCCGTCACGCACCCTCTAGGACATGTGGATCTACTTTTTTGATTGCTTGACAGATAACCTTCCAGTGGCCTAGGTTCGGCCAAATGTGTATCTTTGCTGGTATGTCTCCGTGCGACATTTTTGCTGTCCCAGGTGCCATCCAGTTGGAGTGTTCAAATGCTTTGCGGCCGAAGGCCAGCAATCTGGACACGACCTCTGCGAATATCAGATCCGACTGGTTCATGCGCTCAACCGCTTGCCTGGACACTTACAACTTATAGTGCATGGGACCCGTTGTCGCTGACTTGCAGCTCAGCCGGATCTACAAACCCTGAGCAGCAGACTTGACGTGTGTGGCCTTGTGCTTGAAGAGGCTGTACCAAGTCCGCGCGGAGGTGCCTCAGCTTGTCACCTCTGCTGGGATGCAGGACCAGGCATGCAATGGCTTTTGCATGTCGCACAAAGCTGTGTGCCCCGGATGCGCTCGGAGCTACGAGTATCAGCCAGCTGAGATTAGATCAGCGAGGACAAGTCGGAATGCGGCGGAGTCGCCCATCAGCAAACCTGTAGGTGCAGCGTCTTGCAGCTCCAGCTCCTTCGAGAGGAGGGTCTCCACAAGCTGGAGAACCTCATCCGCCATGGCCTTCAGAAGACGAAGACGCAGGGAACAAGAATCTCCTTTTCCTTCACAGCCCATGCCGGCATGCCGGATCATGCCAGCCTCATGAGTCTCTTCCGCAACGTCTCCGAACAAGCCGCTGCAGAGAGCAAGGTGCCGCAAGGCGAGCACCATCATTTCCCAAGCAATGCTGTTCAAGACCTGTCATGTCAAGTCGATACCGAGTGCTCAAGTTTTCGCCTCGACTTCAGACACAACGTGGTGTGCTGCAGTGTGCTCGGGGAGCCTCGCAGCTCACCGAAGTCAAATTTATGTTTGGAGTCTCCCAACAGACTCGGCGGGTGTTGTTAGCGTAGCCAAACTGAGAGCCCAGACCACGCATGATACCTGGGGTCGGTGAACGCATCTCGCTTCAGGAGCATCGCTCGTGGGATCTCCTCAAACTGCGACCCAGGGGCCAAAGCAGGTGGGTGTTTGCTGCTCCGCATCCATCTCTTCACTCGGATCGCTTCCGAGGCCGAAGGCTTCCAGCAGCTCCGAAGCGCAGAGGTCCAGGACCTCACCAGTAAAAGCAACTCGTCGCGTGAATGGTCTTGAGTCTCGATTCTTCCGAGAGCTTCATCAACTGCTGGCCTCCTGACTCGCGCGAGACCCAAGTAATCCGAACTCGCAAGCATCCTGAAGATCACCGCGCTCACATGTCAGGTGAATCGGAGGAGCTTGGCTGTTCCATGTGTGTCCTGTCCAACAGCACCTCGCGCATGAATCGCCAAGGACAGCGCGGCGACAGCAATGATCAT